TCAACTGAAAATTCTTCAGTTGAAAGAAGAATTTAGTAAGGGACTAGAGAGATTCAAAATTCGAGACGAAGCTGCGTTGTTACAAAGAATACAGAAAACAACAGAAAGAATAAAAGATTATGAAGATGAAGGAAGAACAGAAGATGTTGAGAAAGAAAAAACTAGTTTAGAGGAACTACTGAAACTACAAAATCTTGTGAAGGAAATTGACGAACTTTCGTCGATCATAATCCGGTCAGAATCGGAACATATCATAGATACTTTACAACCAGAGCTTGATATTAATACATCACTACTGGATCCGCCAAATCATCCAGAGAAAAATATCTCGCATATCAAGGATCTGCGTGATGAAGCCCACGTTATGCCGCTTTGTGCTAAAAAAACTGTCATCGAACTTCTAGTATATTTTGAACAGAAATTATTAGGAGCAAATATAGCTTCACAAGATCAAGATACATTAATGTCATCATTACGGAAGTTGAAGAGTCAGATGAAAAGAGAAGAGTTATTGTCGGATAATATGAAAACTATTCTTCATAATTTGGAGACGCATTTGACTATCGATAACTATTCACTCATAGTGGGTTATTTGAGCGAGCTTTTAAAAAAGTTTAGTTCGTTGAATGTGTTAGAAATACAGAAACTCACTACAAAAGCAAAAGAAGCTGCCCAATTGATTAAGAATAAAGACATAGTTCTTCTAATAGGAACAACGGGAGCCGGTAAATCTACGACAATTCAGTTTCTTTCAGGTGCTAAAATGAAAGAAGTTCCAGTAGAAATTAGTCCTGGGATATACTTACAACATGTAACCGCAGTTGGACCAATTAAAAATCCAGATTTAAAGAACGTTGTTAGTAGCCCTCTCCAGAAGTCCGAGACACGATATATTGCACCTGTTACCGTTCAATTAAAAGACGTTTTAGGTCCTCACGAGTCTGGTGTAATTACATTCTGTGATGCACCTGGTTTTGGTGATACAGCAGGTCCTGAAGTCGATATCGCAAACAGTATAGGAGTTATTGAAGCCTTGAAAGGAACGCAAAGTGTGAAGTTATTGGCTTTATCAAGTTATAAAAGTTTAGGCGACCGAGGGCAAGGTATTCAGAAATTGGCGCATATACTAATTAGTATGGTACATGGAATAGAAGACAAACTTGGTGCTATCTACTATGGATTTACTAAATATCCAGAAAAAACAGATATACATGCTCTATTATTAAGTATTAAAGCCGATCAAGTAGATCGCGATGTAACCTTACAGTCTGATATTGTTTTTGTCAAAGTATTGAAAGATATGATTCGAAAAACGAGAAACGGTGCTGACAAAATCAATCCAACGACTAACAGCCCAAAAGAGTTAATTGAAAATTTGATGGATGTACGTGGTATTATGTATCCTGGAGAAGTTTTTCGATTCTCAATGAGTGCAGAAACTCGAGCTAGTATTTCTGATCACATACAACGCGATAAGTTTGGTATTATTTGTGCTATGAAACATAAAGATATTGATCTTGTGTTGTATTATTTGAATGATTTACAAATTCTAAATGATCTAATGAAAGACAGTTTTATTCGAGATGTTTATGAAGAATCTATTCGTTTCCTTAGCGAGAGTATTAATAATTATAGTACAGAAATTAAGGAAAAATTTAATCGTCTACTAGCCAGTCAAGATGGATTGCAAAGAAAAGATATTATTGATTATGAAAGTTCCATTAAATATCTTGAACATGCTCAGATATTGAAAAAGCATTTAGGAACATCTTTATTATCACCTGCAGCATTGATTCAAAATATTATTACAAAACTTAATGAAATAGATCGTAGTTTAAATGAAGTAGAGTTACACACTCCTTCTGTAACAATCTATTTAGATAATCTTCAAATGTTAAAAGATTCATTTGTCGAACTCAAAGAAAATTATAATAGTAGTTGTAAAAAATTTCAGATGCGTTTCAATGAATTAGTACAAGATGCACGTGATCTTATTCCGGATAATAATTTCAAAGAAATTAGTGAAATTCTTCTTACTATATTGCAATCTGCACGTGCTTTGGAAAAACATTTGCATGAACAAGTTCAGGAAGCATATAGCAATACTGTCAAAGATTTATTGAAGTATCTAAATAGTTATACTGAGAAAGCGGGACTGGTTTTAGCAAAAGTTAGATTAAATTCAGAAGAAATTGAAACTATCAAAAAATATATGGAGATACTAAGATCAGCTAGAGAGAGCGCTGCACTTCACGAGCATGTTTCGAGATATTTGATACTATTAAAAAAGAGAACGACAAATTCAAATGACCACGAGCCTCTCGAAGAAAACATCAAAA